TTTTCGTATTCTCGTAGGTGGTGTAAAAATTCCTCCGGAGGCGTAACGCAATTTGTACTCCAGATTGTCTCGAAAGGACAAAATGCATTAGCTTTAATGAGAAAACTTTAAAAGCCCGAACATGTCACGGACTATAAAAGATAGATCCGAATGTTTAATGCCTTTAGAGATGCGCTGAAAAGAATTATCCGGGACGCTTCGGTAAAACGGAGAAATAAAAAGACAGGAGCCGGTTTCGTAGGAAATGGCGCTTCTAACGAAAGATTCGACCGAATTTCGAACAAAGTGGGTATCAATTCCGTTTAATTTTTTATCCGTCCTAATTGTTATGGGTGTGTAAAAGTTAAAGCATTTAATATTCCTCATTGAAGAGGTCAATAATCTGCCTTAATTTTAAGGGAAATCTCGATCGAGCACCTCGCGGATGTTGGAACACAATTAAGCTAATTAGCAGTGTCGTTAATGAGTTCCCGGATTTTACTTTGAAGGTTTAAGCTGCGAGTTTGCGATGTGAAGTGGCTTTAATGCCTCGCACAAAATTAGGGTATTAACTAAAACTCGCAAGTTTCTGCGTACAAGGAAAATTTTTATTGCCCATGTGTCTGGGACGTCGAGATCTAAGCAAGGCGGTTCTCCCTAGACATTTGAAAAGCACTTGTAACATGGCAGATTATATTTGTTTTCATTTAACGCCGGACAGCTTGTTTGTTGAAACATAACAGACGTAAATTTTGAATTATGATTCCGGGTAAAAAAGTATGGGGATCATTTTTCAACACAATTTTATGAACCATAATTTGTGTTTGAGATATTTTTTGAGAAATCTCAAACGATTTTTTTTATTTTGACCTCGAATAACTCTTCTAGCATTCATAGCCAAATTGTTTATTATTGTTAATTATTAATAAGGGGTGTTTTTTTTTCGATGTATGGAACTTTAAGTTGCAATAAAACAACGATGGATTATTCGATTGACATGACGTCATTGATGACGTATTACATTTTAAATATGATTTCTGGCATATGACCGCCACGGTTGGCGCGGATGTAGTCTAATCTGGACGTCCAATTTTCGATGACTTTTTCCAACATTTGTGGCCGTATATCGGCAATAACATGGCGAATGTTGTCTTCCAAATGGTCAAGCGTTTGTGCCTTATCCGCATAGACCAATGACTTTACATAGCCCCACAGAAATTAGTCTAGCGGTGTTAAATTACAAGATCTTGGAGGCCAATTCACAGGTCCAAAACGTGAAATTAGGCGGTCACCAAACGTGTCTTTCAATAAATCGATTGTGGCACGAGCTGTGTGACATATTGCGCAGTCTTGTTGAAACCACTTCTCCTGGACATCATGGTTATTCAATTCAGGAATGAAAGAGTTAGTAATCATGGCTCTATACCGATCACCATTGACTGTAACGTTCTGGTCTTCATCGTTTTTGAAGAAGTACGAACCTATGATTCCACCAGCCAATAAAGCGCACCAAACAGTCAGTTTTTCTGGATGTAACGGTGTTTCGACATACACTTGAGGATTAGCTTTGCTCCAAATGCGGCAGTTTAGTTTGATGACGTAGCCATTCAACCAGAAGTGCGTTTCATCCCTAAACAAAATTCGCTTATGAAAATCGGGAACAACGGTAATCTCGTTTTGGGTCCAATCGACGAATCACGCCTTACTTGATGATCGTTTGGCTTCAATTCTGCACGAGTTGGATTTTGTAAGCACGTAAACCAAGATCCTTCCGCAAAATCTTCCATAAAGTGGATGGATACAGATCCAATTCCTGTGCTCGATGGCGGATGGACTCATTCGGGTCTTCCTCAATGCTACGCTCTACAGCAGCAATAGCTTCTTCTGTACGCACCGTACTGCGTCTCTGGCAATGCGATTCCATGATTAATCGAATTAACTGATGGACTTAGTGCGCGATACGTATTCCGCACAGAACCATTATTTTCAAAATAAAATTGCACTATTTGCAAGCGTTGTTCAGCCGTGAGTCTATTCATGATGAATTGCCAAACCAAACTGAGAATAAATCACTTGACAGCAGTAATGCCAACTTAAAGTTCTATACATCGAAAAAAAACACCCTATACATCGCTTTAAGTTTTATAGTCTTATAGTTATAGTTATAGTTTTATGTAGTCTTTTCCTCTGGAACATATTTCTTATTTGACTAGAGATGTTGGCATATGTCACGATTGAGAAAAAATAGGCAAACTAATATTTCACGAGAAGTGGGCCGAAGAGGATACCGAAGGTGATACCTAAAAAAAACTGTGGAGAAAAAAAAAGATTTCTTTACCGTTTTACAGACATGGAATTCAAGGAATAATCAAAACTAATTCATGAATATTTCCTAGAAAAACTTATATCGGGGCCTTATTTTACATTTATATCGGACTGTCAAGTTAGACATCGCATGTCAATTTTAATTACCATAAATCTTTGAAACCATGGGCATCGGATTGTTTGCACATCAAAGAAAAGGGGCGGGTTTTCCTATTCCTCTTTATCACCTTGTTGGGAATTAGGAAAAATGATATTTCAGGCGAAGTCGCCCGAAAAGGAACAATTTGATAAGACAAATGTGCGAAGATATTAATTACAACGAAAGAAAATCTTAATTAGGCGCGTATTTCATCGAGGAAGGGTGACTGAGTAACCATGAAAAATGTGAACGACAGTATTATACCGCCCTAAAGATTCCGTAAATAAATATTTTTTTAATATTCGCTCATTTAATTTTACATTCATTTTCGTATATAATTTGCAAGTAATCTGTTTATAATAAAGTGTTTTTTTGTTTTTTTTTATTAATTCAATAACTTCATTAAATTCACTCAAAGTAAAAACCAAAACATCCTTAAACTAGCAAATAACAGAGCCACAAAAATATCAAAAAAATAAAATAAAATATCAAATATTTCTAAAGAAATATTTGTGGGACAGGCACACACAGCGCCCGATATAAACAGGTTAAAAGTGTTGTTAAGAGAAAATATGAAACCTTTGAATATCTGATAATAAATGATGAGATTTTGGCTTTTCCAATTTAATACCTTTAAATTAACCAGTATAATTAAAATGTCTGTTGAATATGTTAGTAAAATGACTTTTGATTAACGACTACTTTGAAAATGGCGTTTCTTTTGATTAATGACTCTTTTGAAAAGGGCGTTTTACCAGACCAACTTAAAACGCTGTTAATAAAAGGGCTCTATAAAAAGAGAGCTCCAGAAATAATTACAAATAACAGACCCATTAGCATTTTGTAAGATTTTCCTAAAATACTTAAGAGTCAATAGAGTCGCAAATTCGTTGACTAAATATCAAATGACTGACTGACTCATAAACAGCAACCGCTATTTTTCAATTTATGAAAACAATTTTAAAGCACTTGGAGGGTGAAACAATAGCTTTAGAAGCGAGAGTTGTCGCTCAAAAAATTGGATTTATACGGGGTAATGTGCTAAAATTGGTAAGGAATTGGTAAGGAAAAAAGTAAATATAACCTTAAAATGACAGTATCTTTCAGATATTAAAGGGGCTTACTTACTTTTAGTGTGTGAGAAAGTCAGAAGAAGAGAGCATAAATATACTATAAGCATGATGCGAACGAACTTGCTTGTAGGTGAAAACAATCTCAGCGATGTTAGTGATAAAGTTTGGCGATATTTTTGTTTTACTTTCTAGGAAATAAATTGATATTAAATAAAGAGAAAACGAATTTAATTATATTTAGAACCAAGTATTTTTTAAAAATTTAAAATCGCGTTTACAAGGGTGTAAGAAAAAAGTCATTTTTCAAAAACCGTTTATCGGGTGCGATAAATCCGCGATAAAATAAATAAATATAAAATATGAGAAAATTTGGTTTAAAGGGTATTGTGAACTGTGCTGAGAGCTACAATTTTCGTATTTACAGCTTTCACGTACTATACAGGGTGCGGGAGATATTTGGAAAAACAGAAGGGTGTGGCCGGTATTAGCAAAAAACTGAAAAGTGGGATGCCCCTATAAAGTTAATTGACCATAACTAAAAGCTGGGTTTCAGTTGTCAGTTTCTCTTACATGGTCGTATAGTCCGTATAAACAGTTAAAACTTTTATATTTAAGGTTAAGGTACAAGGTGTGTCATTTATTCCGTAGTATATTAAAAAATGTAGCAAGTGTCTCAAATTATAATCTATCTAGGAAGAAGTTCCCACTTTCATTTGAACTGTTGAAACTCGATGCCATCCAATATGGCGAAGTATTTTTTTTTTCTTAAGACAAATTCAATTATAGACAAAAATCAAAAAGATCGTTAAACTTTTCCAGGGGAAAGTATTTGCCATAAATAAAAATTCGTAAAAAATATGACTAATAGGTTTAAACAGTATTATTTTTGTATTTACGGTTTTCATCTGTCACACACGCTGCTCGAGATATTTGAAAAAATCCATATGAAAATCGCTATTTCTCACACTCAATCTAGACGCGATGACGTGATTTACGCTTACGGCGTACTGCATAGTTTCAGAAAAGAATTAATTTCTCGAAAACGATTTACTTTATGGAAAAAATTCGTGGACCAGGAAACGTGGAAGATCCAGGGCTATAGCTTCTATTTCGAACGTTCTTGGAATCATATACGGGGTGTGTTGTTTTTAGTTTTAACCTGAAACCCGTTTTTGTGGGTAAATTGAAAAATAAAGAAAATTCAAAAGTTTCATTATAGATTTTAAAATTCTGAGGTTAAAATTTTTGTTGCGATTGATGATTTTAAAAAAAAATGCATTTTTACATTTTTTTATTTAAAACATGTGCAGATCTTTCTTTATTTTATTTTTCTGTTCCTTCGAAGATTCACGAGTTCATTGAATTCAACTGGTAACGTGAACAACTAAATTAACACAAATTATATACAAATATACATATTTTTAGAAAATATATTTTCATTTAGAATCACGTCACCCAAACACCAACCAAACAAGTTACTTTACCTGACAGAAGCAGACGGCAAAAATAGCGGAAACCACCACGATCACCAACAACCGTTTCATGTTGCGTATATCGAATTAAATCCATTCTTCTAAAAATCAATTCTATATATACGAGCACGTGGACGAGGTCAGGAAATTTTTTAACACCACCGCCCGACCAGTTTCCCGATCCCGTAAACTGCATTGGATATATCGATTCCGATTTATAATTGATTTATAATCGCTAATTGAAAAACAGCAACTCGGCTTTTTCCCCAATTTTCTTTGAACCGGCGAAAATCAAATTGCCGCAACTATACGGGATGATCAAAATAAAAGAGGGGGAAATGTTTTCCTGGAAAATTAATTGCATTTTTTTTTTGCCTTTGTTGATTTATTGGATATGATGGAAGACCGGAATAAAATCCAAAAATATATAGACTTTTTCCTCTAAAAAATCAACAAATTCGATAAATTAAAACAAAAACAAAATTAACAAAGAGTCATATTCAAAGTCATTATTGATTTAGATTAGATTTAGAAATTTAAATTTTAAACGCAGCCTATTGCGAATCCAAAAACTGGATGCATTCTCCATATTTTGCTTCACGTTAGAGATATAGAAAAAAGTTATTTGAAAAAATTTTTCGAAATATTATATTCTCAATACCAAATTTCATGTTTTAGTTTTTTCAATATTTTGGCAAAAGCACAAAATTATATTGAATTGAACATTTGATAAAGACACGGTGTTGTCGAAACAATTGTCGTGAAAATCTGAACTTTTAGTTCTTATTTATTTTGATAAATGGATTTTCATCAAGTAAAAGTCACCTCAGTTCAACTCTAGAACATTATTATTATTATTATTATTATTACTGTTATGGTGATGTGATATTGACAGGAGAGGACCTTCCTCCTATCCTGCTTCACCTAAGCTCAAAAATGTTCGAACAATGTGACATGTCTGGAGTATTACAACTTTGTGATGATGATTCTGCATGTCTAGTTTCTCTAGGTTTTTCTTGAACTTTTTTGTAACAATTCCCATGGATATATGATTACTTCGTTTAGATGCCAAGTTTGTGTTAGCTGGATAGCTAGGTCTTCATATTTTCGAACTTTCTTAGCTTCCGCAGATCTCAAATGGTGGGTCAGCGGTATGGCAGTATCAATGATTACCAGTTCTTCTCGTGGTTGAGGAGAATATCTGGTATGTATCTGTTTCGAGATTTGATTTTGGCTCTTTCGAAAAAAGTTCCCATTTCAAGTCCAGTTGTTAATGTATGATTTTTGCCAGTAAATTGTGCTTTCCTAAATAAGAATTATCTACTAGTCCGCTACATCCACCCATGATGTGCTACATTTCCTAGGTCTACAATGGCGTTGATTTTCAATATCTGTTTTTCATAATTCCTAGTTCTAATTACTTTGTCTTGTATTGTGCCACTGTAGTGATCATGTTTTGCAAGGGTATTTACCATGAAGTACTTTTTCCTTCCAAATTTGTATTTCCTGAAATAGTGTAGATGTATCGGTTACTATTGGCATACCTAAGTTAAGTGGTGTGAAGATTTTATAAGCATTTCTTAAAGTCTGGACAATACGGTCTGTGGGTCCTAATAATGTTAAGAGACTTGGTTTCTGCAGATTCCGCTTATATTTAGAAATCCCCTGCCACCTTCTTTTCTTGGGTAATAAAGCCGTAATATTGATGAGTTGGGCTGTAAACATCTGAATTTTGTTAACATCTGCCATATCAGTATTGGACCATTTAACTATTCCAAAGGAATATGTGAGAATAGGTGTTCAACACTTTAGTCATTGCTTTCTGTATTTTTCAGTGAACTGCTGCTTAAGGAAATGGTCAACTTTCATGTTTTGGTGGTGTACCAAGGTATTTGAAGAAAGACCCGGGATCTTCGAATGATACTCCTTCTTTACCTGATGGTTCAAGTTTTTCTTTCTTGATTGCTATTGTTGCACACTTATCCGATCCAAATGACATCTTAATATCGTCACCGTTTCAGAGGTTGAGTGTAACTGGCTCGTATTTTACTCTGTACCTGCTTATGTGATGTTCGAGGGGGGCGGAGCTAATTGAGGAGCATAATCACCGTGTCGGATGACTGATTCTGCTGACGAGTTTATTATTTTAGTTGCCGAACACAATCACGAAACCGGATATAAAATTTTATTCGATAAAACTAAAATTCTTTCATGTAATCAATTCTTCTACCAACGAAAAATCCGAGAGTCTATAGAAATCTATAAGCAACCTGGCACCAATATGGGAATCAGTTATCCGAGGGCATGATTATGTCCCTCATTTAGCTCCGCCCCCCTCAAACAATATAAAAGCAAGTACAGAGTAAAATGCGAGGTTTTGTCATTTTTTGCAATTTTTTTTCTGTCTTCTCCTTTTTTTTTATTCATTAAGATATTTGTGACTTCTATTTATACATAGTGAGTCAAAAACATGGTGCCTAATATTTTTTAAAATGATTCTCTTAGTTTTTTATATATTTTGCTGAAAATAAATCTGTCGTGTTAGATTACACATATACATTTAGTACGTAAAAACAAACAATATCACAAAACAATGTCTTGTATACCATTACCATCGCAAATTTTTCCAATGTGGTTTAAGATTTATTTAATTTAAAAAAATTTCTCTCATGTTTATTTTTGACATATGGAGGTTTTCATACATTGCACCTGAATTAATTGTTAACTGTATAGTGAATTACGTTTGAAAAAGAATTTAGTTGACGATAACAAAAAAAATTCCGTCCACTTTCATTAAAATTTGTTTTAAAAAAAATTAACGAACAATACTAATAATAATATGTTTTTGTGTGCCCTTCATGATTGTGTCATTTTTAAAACCAGTTGTTATCTCAAAACCAGTTGTTATGACAAATATACACTTATGCAATGGTTCTTAAACATCAAGGCATAATTATTTTATTTTAAGAAATCAGTAGTTTTTAGTAGGTAAAGTAGGTAGGTAAATTTATTAAAATAATTTAGACAATAATTTTCATGGTACCAATGACAATCAAATGTCCTCTCGCTTTGCTAGTCCCCCATTTATTCGAATATATTTTCCAATTCAGGCACAACGATTATTTCTTGTGCCCGTATCTTCAATTTTGAGGTGATATAAGATATAAATAAGAACTTTGGTTAATAGAGAGAAATAAGATTTGCATTTGAGAACTACATCAAAATCACATCCAGTGAAGGCTCTGCAAAGCTCCTGTTTGGACCAGAACCTTTTAATGAGCTGCATACAAAAATGGTTGGAAAAAGAATCCCGACAATGAAGAAGAGAGAGATAAGTCTAATGGGAGTGAAACAAATACTGGCCAGATTTTGCTTGGCTCTTTTTATGCCAAATTCAGCCTTATCGAGAAAGCCATTTCATCTGCTAAAACCACAGGCTACACAAGCTACACCAATATGCTGCAGCACAATAAATGTTCTGAATCTTTCTTTCCCATTTGATGAAGCAGAAGCGAACAACGAAAGACAATTAATTACCAGGTTTACCAACCAACAAAATTGTGCTTAATTTATGGCCAAACCGTAACATATTGAAATAGAATTTAAATGGAGCTGAAGGTGACCACTCAAACGCGAATGGATAAATCTCAATTCCACTTTCCAGCAACGAATTAAAAAAAAAAACATTGATTTGTCGTTTAAAGTCTGCTTCTAATATACAGGCCGATATGTTAATATGTGGGGAACCCAATTATCTCTTATGTAGGGTTTTGTAGGAGTGTTTTCGTCAAAAATGACCTGTGTTTAAATCAAACATTTGCAATAAAACAAGTGAGAGCTAAATAAAAATCACGTCCAGTTTAGTTTTGGATTAAGTTACCCGTGAAGACACTGCAAAGCTCATGATTGGACCAGAACCTTTTTATGAGGTACAAAAAAAAATGGTTGGAAAAAGAATCCCGACAATGAAGAAGAGTAGTGGTAGTGAAAAAAATACTGAGCAGATTTTACTTGGCTCTTTTTATGCCAATTTCAGCCTTATCGAGAAAGCCATTTCATCTGCTGGAAGTAATAAAGCCACAGGCAACAAACTACATCAATATACTGCAGCACAATAAATGTTCTGAATCTTCCTCTCCCATTTGATGAAGCAGGAATGTAGGACATAACAACGAAAGACAATTACATTTGACATTTTAACCAACTAAAATTGGGTTTAATTTATGACCAAAATTGAAATAGCATTTAAATGGAGCTGAAGGTGGCCACTCAAACGCGAATGGATAAATCTCCATCCCACTTTCCAGCAACGAATTTAAAAAAAAAACATTTATTTGTCGTCTAAAGTCGGCTTCGCCTTGGGGAATGACAAATTACCTACGCACTGCATCGCGAAGGAACAAATTTAACCGCCGTTCGTATCCAAAGCAACTCAGGGAAAAGTTAACGATGCGACGGTGAAAGGGGTTGTCCGTAACTGTCAGTGATAAATGCCGAGACTTCCATTACGTCTTTAATCATCCCGAGACCGAGCCACTAAACACCATCTTAAAACGTTACGTCTCGGCGTTTGTTTGCCTTTGTGCCTCGATTGTTTCACAAACAAGTTTAAGCGTTTTTGACTTTAGACACGCGGATGAGAGTCGCCCTTGCGTTTGTTCTGCTGTAATTTTTGTTCCGGTTTCTTTAAGGAACAGTTTTGGTTATTAGGGTCGGTAATTAATCTTTAACTTTCGATCAAATGAAATGTTTAAAGGTTAATTAATGCTATTAGTCTCTTCCAGAGAAAGTTCAAATGGTGACAGATTCCGTAAAGGGTTCCATACTCCAAAGACTACTTTGGCTACACTAGCTAGATAAATAGCATTCAGTGTGTCCAAATAGTGTGTAAAAGTAATTTATTTCTTTTATTCGTTTTAGAAACAAATGTTAATTACAAAAATTATAGATAGGACAAAAGGAAACTATTTAAAATAGTTTTGTAATATACAGGGCGATTCATAAATATGTGGGGAACCCAATTATCTCTTATGTAGGGTATTTGTAGGAGTGTTTTCGAATATAAGGCCATTTTTTCGTCAAAAATCACCTGTGT